TTTAGGGGTGGTCCAGGGTGGCACCGGCAACCCCTGACTTTTCCGGCCGCAGTGGAAAATTTTTCGAAATTTTTCAAAATTTTTATTTTTTTCTATTATCGTGTAACCCCTGACTTTCCCGTGCAACCCTACTGTGAAATCCTGCGTCCGCCCCTGGTAGGGGTGAGCATGGTGCGGTTGGTGCGGTTTTAGGGCCAAACCGAACCGCAAACCGCGAGGTGCGGTTTTTGAATTCTAGAAACCATTGGGTGCGGTTTTTCAATGGTTCGGTTGTGCGGTTTTTGAGTGCAGTTTCGGTTTGTACCGGTTCGGTGTCGGTTTTAAACCGAGTCAAACATATGGTGCGATTTTTTATGTTCACCGGTACAATTTATTTTAACCATGATGTTCATATGAAGATTTATGATTGTATGACATGGTGTCATTTCATTTCCTCACATTTAGAAGCTGTAATTTTGAGTTTTTTATGTTGTTTACTTGATCACTTCATTTGCAACTCATATTCTCAAGCTCATTTTTTATTCAATTTGTGCTTACAAGTTACAAGCTTACAAGTTGTAGCTCACATAGTGTTTACACTTTACACATAATCATTAAGTCACAAACACAAAGTGACAAACTCACATATTAAACATAATACCTAATTACTAATTACCGTCAAGTTCAATATAAAATATATGTATAAATTAGAATTTATTAGTTTTTTAAATAATATGTATAATTGTATAATATAAATTAGTGATTTATATTATTGTTAATAAGCTTGCGGTGCGGTTCGGTTTTGGTGGTCCGGTTTCTAGATAAAAACCGCACCGCACCAATAAATTCGATTTGTCATAAAATAAAATCCGCACCATCGCTTTTTGCGTCGGTTTCGGTTTTCCGGTTGCGGTTTATTGTGGTTTTTCTTTTAGCGGTTTGGTTTTGTTCACCCCTAGCCCCCTGACTCTAGTCCCCAATTTCATCAAATCTTTGTTGATCATGTCTATCTACTAGTACCGGGTATAGAGCCTTAATCTTTCTCGCTCAAAGTTTCTCTTCTACAGAAGTTAGGGTAAATTTAGTCATTTTCACTTCAAAACATAACCAATGTTTCATTGGTTTCTTGAATTTGTTTGAGAGTTGAGGTCTCGATAGCCTAGGTCATCAATATTTTTTGTCCCTAATTAGCCATCGATTTTTTTACTTTTCTTTTTGTGAATTTATTATGTGATTTTCTGCAAAGAATTTGGTATGATATGTTTGGGTTAGTAAATAGGGTTAGGTGGATTAAAGACCCCCCATCTTCTTAGATTCTTATATAATCCTTTTTAAGTTTTTTTTTTCTTTGCCTGAACTTGTAACTGCTCTATTTCTTTTGTCTCTTTTTGTCTGACCTGCACCACTTCAGCAAGATGACGTTGGCAGGTCCTTTTAATGGTATCATATTGTTAAAAATCAATTTGTTAATCCATAAGTAGTGTTTTTTTTGGTTATTAGTTGGTAGGCTAGATATGGATCAATAAATAAAAAACTGGTTTTCATTTTTCATTTAAAAACTAATCTATCTTAAATCAATCTTTTAATCATGCTTCTCTTACGATTGAATTACAGGTTCAATTGTTACCATTAAATTATAGATCCTATGATATTTATGTTTCGATGAAATTACAAGTTTACTATTATGGCATTTCTTTTTGTTTAATTCTTCTATTTTGTGATTATATAAATTATATCAAAGTTCAAACAAATGTAATTTCTTTAATGCTTCTGTTTTGTGACTTTCCTTTTCGTTTTATGTTTTTCTTTGATGTTGATGTACTTTGGTTATATGAATTTCTTTATTATGCGATGTAAATGCTTCCATTAACTTATTTCCTATTTCTTTAATAAGAATGGTAATGGAGTCTCATATTACATGTAATAAACGTGTCATGCAAAATAGTACCAAAACAAGATAAATTCAAAAATTGTCGGTACCAAATTAGGTCGAGTACCCGTATATGTTCACCGTTAGTTCATATGCCCCGAAAGACATGAAGAATATTAGCAATCAATAACATACTATTGTTATAAAAGTTAAATTATATTCAAAATAATTATTAACACCTATGTCTCTGGTATTTATACTTTATTAGTATAATTTAATGTTGCCATTTACTTCAAGGTATCATGGAAAATGTTAGAGATTGGATGTATTTATGGGACTGGATGCTAGCAGATGAAGATGATGTCGATTGAGATATTAAGAATATGATCTACTTTTACATTTTATAATAAAAGTTGTTTCAATGCTTAATTTTTTGTGTTTATCTAAATGATTTCATTAGACATGAGTTGAATCAGGGGCGAAGCTAAAAAATTTTTTTAGAGTGTTGCTTATAAATTTTCAAACATTCGAAAACTGCAAACATATATAAATTATCAAACCCACAAACTGCAAATATATATATATATATATATATATATATATATATATATATATATATATATATATATATATATATAAATTGGGAAAATGGTTGTCACTTTGTTGGGTTGAGAAAATTAGGTTGTATTTGGTGTTTCGTATACTTGCAAAAGTGTGAAGAAAAATATAAAAAAAAATATATATATGTATATTAAAAGGGCGAAATTGGGTTCCCGACTTCTTCAATTGGTTTGAAAAAGGTAGGCCTGGGCTAATTAAAAAAAAAAATGAAAATTAAGGGTGGGCCTAGGCTAATGCTGGTTCTTATGTGGCTTGAATTCTAGTGATACAAAGGTGGTTTATACCTTGAATAAATAACATGTGATGTATTTTTTCCATTTGTTTTCATTTAAATGAATCAAGACTTGATGTGTTTTATACGACGCAGAAGCATATGGAATAACTACCTCTTGGAGGTCGAGAGTAAGTTATCGTCTATATATGTTTGGTATAAGGTAGGCAATTATTGCTTATTATTTGTAACTTTTTTTTTGTGTAAATTGTCTTTTATTACCCTTGTAATCGATAAGGTATGCCATTGTTAGTAATTATTTTCAATTTTTTTTTTGTTATAAATTGATTTATTAGTTATTATCCTTGCAATTGATTGGTTTCATCACTAGTTAACTTCTAATTTGATTTCATTACTTATTTGTATCTATGTGTTGCGTTGTAAGATACTTTGTTTTTGGGAAATATGATTTGTTAGTCGGTGAGTGGCAATTTAGAAAGATGTCATTAAACAAAAGTTATGATTGTAATTTGACAACTTATGTTGACTATGATTTGTGGTTATTATTTTGAGCTTGGACATATATTTCAAAGTAAAGAATAAGTTTATTTATGATATCTATGTTATTTGATATCGTGTAATTGAAATAGTAATTTATATATATATATATATATATATATATATATATATATATATATATATATATATATATACGGTGAGGTTCAATAGAGAACCATAATTAACCAAGAAACCAATCGTGAGCGTCAGAAATCATAACGATCAACGTCAAGGAAATAGATGTACATTTTTACATTTGACACACACATCGGATTATACCAAAAAATCCATCATTTACAAAAAAACTCACCACTTTTTTTCGTTTAAAATTTTTTTAAGCCATGTTTTTTATCGAAAAAAAAAAACGAATATACCGTTGTTCACGATTTTTCGTCCTCTTTCCATAGAGATTCATGATGATATATAAAAAACGAACCTTTTTTTTCGAAAAAAACTCACTTCATTTTCTTTGATCAAAAAATTTAAGGTCTATTTTTTTATAGAAAAAAAATTAATAAATATATCAAAATTCATATTTTTTGTACTTTTTAAACATAAATTCATATTCATGTTAAATAATAATAATAATAATAATAATAATAATACGATATTTCAGTTCAGATTCACATTGTGAACATCTTCAGATTCATATTGTAAACCTGTTCAGATTCACATTGTGAACCTCCTCAGATTCACAGTGTGCATAATAATAAGCCAGATTCACAGTGTGAATCTGAACTGATCAGAGCTTTTTCACATTGTGAATGTTAAAATTTGAAATATTTACAGTTTAGATTCACAGTGTGAATCTATACTGATCGAGGTTTTTTTTTTTTTTTTTTGTGAACCTTCTCAGATTCATAGTGTGCATAATAGTACTTCAGATTCACAATGTGAATCTGAACTGTTTGAGATTTTTCATATTGTGAATGTTAAAAATTGAAATATTTACAGTTTAGATTCATAGTGTGAATCTATACTGATCGAGGTTTTTTTTTTTTTTTTTAAATCGGTGTTGATGTTTATTAATAGAGTACAAAAATTAATATTTTTGGTATATAGTAGTTTTTTTTATAAACATAAACTTAAATATTGAAAAACTAAGAAAATTAAGTGGGTTTTTTCGAAAAAAAAAGTTTGTTTTTTATAATCATCATGGATCTCTATGGAAAGATGACGAAAAATCGTGAACAACGGTATATTCGGTTTTTTTTTTTCGATAAAAAACTTGGCCTAAAAAAATTTTCAAATGAAAAAAAGGAAGTGAGTTTTGTTATAATCCGGTACATGTGCGTCCATTATAAAAGTTTACAACCCTTCCTTTTGCCGTTGATCGTTTTAAATTCCGACGCTTTGGATTGGTTCATTTGTTCCTTAATTAATAATCGTTCTCTATTGAACTTTTCCATATATATATATATATATATATATATATATATATATATATATATATAATATATATATATATATATATATATATATATATATATATATATATATATATCTATATCTATATATAATGGTCATTTGTTCCTTAATTAATAATAGTAAACTTGATGATTTGGTTTTTTTTTTTGCAGAAATGGTCCTTTTGTTTATGATGTTCTGTCATCTCCAGGCTTTCTTCTGTCTTTCTTTTCCGGAGGTCTTTTTTGACCATTTTTGAACTTCTATCTGCAGTCACCGCCTCCGTAAACCGACCATCACCGCACCGCCCCTATAATCCAATTACATGTTGCACCGCTGTATCATCAAACTGATATGTATTCGCCACCCTTCATTTTATTTCACCATAGGCTTATACATTCAAAGGTATATGCTTTACTTGGTGAAAAAACTGCAGCAGATAATGAGAAGGCTGTAAAACAGAAGAAAGAGAAGCCTGTTAAAGTAGAGGTGCGTATTATACTAAAAAACATAATAGAAAGCCTTATGGATGCTACTTCTTTACTCTCAGTTTTCTATTTCAACAACTGGATGCCTCAACTAAAAAAACTGACTAATAATGATTTTTCTTTTCTCTTTTCTTTTTTCCAATCTTCATTCGTCATCTTAGTATAACCAACACCACATACACCAAAACCATACAGATCTAACTAAAATTTTTAAAATAAATTTCTAGCATGGAAGAGATTGTAAACGCTTCCGTGGTTCGCGAGAAGGAAAAAGGACTCATCCTTTGTTGCATCTGGCGCGAGATGATAAAGAAAGATAGAGCTTCGTGGACGTTTCGGTTCTTCCAGTTTTAGTCACCAATGGTTGGGTATTTGCATCTACAAATCCTGCTGGCATTTTATATATGGTGAAAGCTTCTGAATTCAAAGGTATATGTTGTATTCAGATGGGGTTGTCCCTCAATATTGTTGTTAAATGGAACGTTGTGGCAGTGTGCTCTAAATCTTCATAACACTATTACTGTCAAACAAATTTATGTAAATTCAGAATTTGTTTAATTTGTAATTTTGTATTAACCTGTTCACACTTTCTAGAAAACAGAAAAGAGCGAAAATAGATGACCACATGGAGGATTCATCCGCTAGAAATTATTATAATTCTTTATAAAGAACAAGTAAATGTAGTGGACCGAAGGTATTCAGAGATTAAATGTGGAAACTTTTGATTGGGAAATCTGGATTAAGAGGTATATATTAACATTTTTCTTACCCTTAAACCATTTATTTATTATTTTTTAAAATTTACATGATGTTATGGAATTTTAGGGATCTTGAACTGCATTACATGCCAACAAATGATCTAAGTGGTTGGAAGAACCATGTACCTTCCATAATATTTTTTAGGATTTAATGCGAAGGTAAAAAATCTCTTATGATTATTACTATTTTGGATAGTTGTTTTGATCAACAAAGGAAAAGAACCATTAGAATTTTTTTATTATAACCTATTGCATTTCAAATAAAGGGTAGACATGTCATTTATGCTATTGCTCATAGCAGCACAGACATGGATGTTGCAAAACAGCTTTGACGCGAAGAGACTTGGAGTCAACAACTAATTACATGAAGAATTTTGAAGTAAGGGATCAGATTGCATTTGTATATGTGTAAAAAACAATCGTTTTCCCAGTTACAAACTCTTGCAGTTGGTTCTGATGTAGGTGGCTTCAAGCCAAGGAAAAAGGTAACTTTACGTTACAAAATTAGGGTTCTTTTAATAAATATTTAATAATTTTTTGTGGGAAATCGGCACAACATAGAAAATTATAAAGGCACCATTTTGGATATGGTTGAATTTGTACTGCTCTGACAAGCTATAACGAACAAATGGTTTTGATTTACAAATCCTTTTACTTATGTTTCAGTCCAACATTCTTTTCTAATATTTTTAAATGACTGTAAATAAATATGTTTTGTGATAGCATGAAAATTGGTTTACATCGAGTTGCTATGGTTGTTGGATAATCATGTTTCTCCTTATGTCCGAATGACAATGGATATTATTAAATTCAATAGGAATGACTCAAAGTTCTATATTATTTTGTCACTTTTCCTTTATATTTACCTTTAATATGGGTTCGATGAGCATTACATCATAGACTTCTCAGCGATTCCTCCACTAATGTTTACAGGTTTTGTGACATGCTATTACCACCGCTGCCAACTCAACAATTTGCTTACCTTTACAACATTGTACTTTGGAAGACCTCCAACGAATTGTAGTAATGATTTTTTTTTGCATTTTTTTCTTTAACCTTCATATAATTGGGTAGATCTATTAAAATAAAATAGGATGTTATACTAAGCAAATTTGCATTCGACTATGTATATCCACATTTAATAAAATCATGTATTTTGTCGTTTAGGTACGACAATGAAGAACCGAACAAACTGCAACAATATTTCTGTTGTTGACATTTCTGCTGTTGCTATATGCATTTCGTAAGTATGTCATGGGTTAGATGATGTTGGAATGTGGTAAGGAAATGCAAACCCTTTCAATATTTTCAATAATCTTTGCTTTTTTATTTTAAGATTTTCATAAAAAAACTCATTTTTCAAAGTGATAAGAAAAAAAAACCCTGTCGGTATGATTAAAAAATAAACAACCCAACAAAATCACATTGTTATATATCATGTATTTATGAACACCATTTTAGCCCGATCCTAATATCATATTTCAATACAGTACAAAAAAAAAATTCTTAATTTCCTTATTTTAATACAATTGTTTATTACGGGTTCGTTGTCCACCTCCCCTTTGATTTTTTTTTTCGTTTTTTTTTGCGAGAAACAGCAACATACTTAACCTCTATGCTTTAATTTTTACCCATAATAGCAAGTTACTTGGAATTTTCTATTGGTTATAGAAAATTTTAACCTTTTGGTTTTCTCTTCGTTATGTGGCATGAGATCAAATGGTCGATGTTTGTATGCAAAAGATTGGATGTGCATTTGCTTCTGCAAGGAGGCTGAAGACAAGTTATTGTTGGAGAATATTGTAATGGTCACTTCCATTTAAAGTTCATTGCTTGCAATCGTTTAGAAGTTAATAAAAGCATGTGTTGTTTCTTCTGTTATCGTTTCAATAAACTACCTATTATGACTTTTTGTTGTAGAGCACTCTAAAGACTATAAAGATTATAGTTCTCATTTGTTATGACAAGTTTTCTGACTGTGGGTGAGCAAAAAAAACCACTAATCTGGCCCCGCAATGCGGGGTCACTCATCTAGTTCATATTAATAGAATTTGTAGTGCTTTAAACAATGATGTTACATGAATTAGAAGAAAAAAAATGTTGTGTTAGCATTAGACAATTTAAAAATAAGGTTGCTTTAGATTGAAGGAAATGTTGTATTTTTATAAAAGAAGATAAAGTTCCATTCGCGTGTAAACAAAGTTTGCATTTGTTGTAACTGAAATCATAAAAATGACTGCATTTACTATAAAAAAAAGTTTTTTTTTTTTTACTAAAAATATAGTAATGGTTGCATTAGATTGTAGAAAAGGTTTCATATTTGTAAATAAAAACATAATAACGGTTGCATTTAAGTATAGAAAAGGTTGCATTTGATTGTAAAGAAAAAGTTGCATTTCCGTGTAAACAAAAAAGTTGCATTTGATCTTATAAAACGTTACACATGTAAAAAGGTTGTACTTGACCAATACATGCAACGCTTTAAATAAAGGTTGCATTTTCTATCAAAAAGGTTGCTTTAGGTCTACGACAACTTCAACTGATGCAACCATTGGTAAACAGTTTTTCTTAGCCATAATGCAAAATTTTCAAGGCTTGATGCAAACTTTTAGCGGAATTGCATTAGCTTCATTTTGTTGTAGTTTCACTATATTATATGTGACATGGTGGACTTGGTGTCTGTGACGATATACATGTGTGTCGTTATTGCAGAGCAATGGCAGTCTTGGTGACTATAAAACCATCTTCGAGAAATAGAAGTCAATAGCGGACTTGGTGACTCTAAAACCATCTTCGAGAAATAGACTATGGTTAAGTAGTTATAGTGGAATATAATTGTTATACTCGATAGAGTAATTTAATTTTGATGATGAACTTGGTGGTCGTAATATTATCATGACGAAACTTCAAGTCAATGGCATCCTTGGTGGTCGTAATGCTATACTTGTATGTTGTTAGCGGATTATTGTTGTAGCCTTGGTGGCCATAATACCATGGGTGAGATCTCATTGATCAATAGAAACTATGGTAGCTGTAGTGCTATATTTTTTTTATTGTTATTGGAGAATTATAAGTTAATAGTAGCCTTGGTGGCCGAAATACTATACTTACATATAGTTATGTTCTAGTGGTGGCTTAAGTAGATGTAGTACCACAGAAACGGAGAGGTTATCGAAGAAAAATAGTAGCATGAGTAACTATAGGTCTACTGCGGAGAGTTATTGATAAAAATAACATCTTGAATAGCTATAAATACAATTATTAGGTTGATTAAAAGGCACAACAGATATATTAGTAGTTCTGAATGTGATGACATATATAGTTGTATAACTATTTTATATTTTGTTGCATATGTTACTCGCTAAGATCTTTTATTTTATCCATTTATTGTTATGTGTATTTCAGATACCCTGTAGATCTAATAAAGATGTGCTAAGTTTCGTAGCGCCCAACTTGGATCCTTATAGGGTTATGTTTGTAAGATCCTTTTTTAATAACTTCTTGTATCGATTTTCCAATACAATTGTATACCATATTTACTATGAATTATGAAATGAAAATGAAAAAAGTCGGATTTGCCTTCTGTTAAAATTCGTGTTACAATTGAAGACTTACGCTCCACGTAAACCGAGGCTACACGAAGTGTCGTCGAAACGGGTTATGTTTTTCGAAAGAAAAAACAATTACTTAAAATCTTTTAGTGAAATCAGTGAGTTGATCTAGTTAAGTCAAAACCCATGTTAATCAATTTACAAAAATACATTAGTTATTATGTGAAAAAACACAAGAACCAGTAGTAGCTCTCATAGCATCAATAAAACATGTCCAATACAAAACAAATTAAAAAGGTACAAAGGCATTGAAAGCACACTGTAACATCCTGAATCCCGAGGTACCAATCAATTTATTTATTAGTTCAAGTATTAAGAACTTCCGACTTACGCGGGGCGTACTAGCCATGTACACCGGGTGTAAGTCATTAATTGAGTCGAGACGGAGGCATCGTACGTTTGGCGTACGCGAGCTGATGCCAAACCCTAATTTTTAGGGTTTCACTCCTATTTAAACACATTAACTCACCCTTGGACCTCCCATGCTCAACCTGCATTTCCTTGGAACCCTAATATCGAACCCTAGTGTTGAGAGTGAAGATCTTGGAGCCTTTTTGGTAATTTTGTGCATTCTTGTTGAGGAATAAGGTCATTGAAGAAGGTAGTGTTGCACACGAGCTTGTGGATCCAGAAACTACCTCACTTTGTACATATTTTGAAGGTATAAAGTCCATACCTTGCTGATGTTCTTTCTAGATCTCTTTAGATGGATTTTTAGGAGCTTTTTGTCCCAAAGCTTGGACCTTTGTTAGTATGGGGTACTCCAGATCATTTTGGCTGCCCTTTTAGATGTATTAGAGTGCTTAGATTCATAAAAATGGTTGCTTGGTCGTTTCCATTGGCCTATAAATGACTTAAGTGACTTAAAGTGTTGCATAAGTTAAGGTTTTGTGTATTGAGAAATATCTAGCCATGCAAAGGGCTAAATTCGGTGAATTTATGGGTTAAGATATTCTATAATGGTCAGATATGAAGTTGGGATAAGTGTCTTAAAAGATTAAGACATAAAAATTGTTGATTATGGATTAGGAAGAGTACGCTGGACTTACGCCTGGCTACGCCCCACATAGCCAGGTCGGTCCTTGATGATTAATGACTCGAGTTGTATGCCTCGCATAGGAAAGTGTAGACACTGCGTACGAACGAGATTGTGGGCTTGCTGACTTTTGTTGACTTTTGACTTTGGTTAAAAGATTTAGGGTTTTGGACCATGGAAGGGGAAAATGGTCTTTTTTCCATTTAGGGGCGTAGTTGTGGGATTGGACCTATGAGTCAGGTTATAACCTTAATTGACTAGGGTTACTTGTTGTGTTTATTAGGTGGAGTCTAGTTCCGGCAGTTCAGGTGTGAGATTTATTTGTCATCTGTATCAGGTGAGTCTTATCACTTATTCTTACATGTGTGGTAGAATAGTTGTATATATGGTGACCAACTGGGTCTAGCTGTTATTATTGTGTTATGTTATTTACGTGTGACTGAGACTTCGAGTAGTGTCCAGGGTTGCTAATAACCCACCGGGCGTGCTGTTTTCCCACTGAGATTTCGTGTAGTCTCCAGGGTTGCTGATAACCCATAGTTGTTTATGTGTTGTGATGTATGAGATATCTTGGGGAACTCACTAAGCTTCGTGCTTACAATTGTTGACTATATGTGTTTCAGGTACTTCTGAGGATCTCGGGAAAGAGAAGGTCTGATTGTACACACTCGTTGGGAGATTTTGTTATTGGGCATTTTTTGGCACTCTGATATTTCCGATGATGATTTGTATTTGATACTTGTGATTTTCTGATGGTTTGGTTTATGAACAATATTTTGGGTAATTTAAAATGCAAAATTTGGTTTGAAATTTGAGGTGTCATAATTTGGTATGAGAGCCTGGTTTGAGGGATTTGGATGAACTCTATAGGAATTCCAAATTCAAACTAAGGATCTGAAGATTTTCATAAAAACTTTTCAAGAAATGAATATTTTACAGGAGAAAACCCCAGTGAAGCAGTATGTATAATCACCCAGAGCTCGAGTGGTAGTTTTCTAAAATATCTCGAATTATATTATGAGTAGTGTAGAGCTGATATCTTATGAGCTGATATAACTGTATGCTAGTGATAGGTGTTGGAAAGAGTGTCCAAGGCCATTAACTATTGGTAACTCTACAAGAAAAACAGCCTTTTACTACACACAATGCGTGTTGTAAAATGCTCAGACGACACGCAAATAAGTGTCAAGGAAGGCCCTGTCATAACGAAATACGACACGCTTTTGCGCGTCGTCTATTTACAACACACATTTACGACTCTCATTTACGACACGCAATGCGTATCAAGGAAGGCCATGTCATAAAGGAAGACGACATGGATTTGCGTGTCGTAACCTTATAATCCATTTGCGTGTCATAAATGAAGATGACACACATTTTTACGTATCGTAATTTTAGATGTTTAAAAAAAATATTATTTATAGATTCACTTATTTTCAAATTAAATTTGCATTTAATGTCTTCTAATAGGAAATAAAATATCATATACAAAAAATACAACCCATTGCATAAAAATTAATGTCATACAAATAATCGTTCCATGGAAAGATAAAACAAATCAATAGAAGTTGTAACAAAATTTTACAAACTAATTAGATACAAGAAATATTAAAAACTTGAAATCCCTGAGATTAATAGTTCTAACAGAAGCTTCACGTGAGATACATACAGTTGGACCAGTAAGAAAGGATGTTCCCGAATCCACAATAGCAGCACAAGAACACGTACACGATATCTTCTACTAGAAGGTGTCGATCCAAAACTATTGTTGAAGGTTGCCATGATAGCTTTTAAGATTTAAGCATAACAAGAAACCAATCAATGAGGAAGAAAACTACAAGTCAACTTACTTCCTCTGCACATAATGTCCAGTATTGATCATTTATATTCTCAATTTTCTGAGTCAGGGGAAAGATCTGCAAACCAAATCAATTAGATAATAACAATGTACCAACTACTAACTAGAATTACAAAGAATTCTAATTACTAATCATATTAATACCTTGTAAATATTGTGTTAAAATACTTCAAGCAGTCTTTCAGCATCCGGATGAGATAATTCAACCTGCTTGTTTCAACATACATGAATTTATTTTATTTTCATCAATACAACTATAAACAAAAACACAACATTAACCTACAAGCAAGCAGTTCAGATTTTAGTAACCAACAGATCCACTAATCATATAATCTATACATGCAAGTTGAGAGGAATGTATATTTATACCTTTGTCTTAATCTCATTGAGAACATCTCCGACAGTTCTCTGCTTAGGCAGCCTAATATTGAGAATCATAGGCTGCAACCACAACAATGACCACAACACAAGAGCTTTTAGATTAGAGACTAAAGAAACAATTGGATCCCTTTCTCTGGACACCTACCTATTCCTTGGTTGCATGGTGAAATGGAACTTTTAGAGTTTTCAGACACTGCAATTCTGGGAGAGGGATGTCTAACACCTCGTAATAAAGAATATCAGAAACCTGTCACAAACAGAGATTCATTTTGATTTTGTGGTTACCATAATCATATCATATGTTGTTATTTCATCATCAAAGACAAGTCAGAAATAGAGAAACCAAGGGTACCTGATTGTAGTGAACAAGCATGTCTAGCAAATGTTCTGCAACCCGAAACTTGATGGGGTGGGGCTTTGGTTGTTGAGAATAACAGTTCTGAGGAGTTAGCCTGATTTTCGTAGGATCATCCAGACCAAGCTGCCTGGCAACTCTCTCCGTCACATCATCATATGTATGCAGCTTTGACTTATCCATTCCATTCTGTTCATTTTAAAACATATATTACATTACTTCATGTTCATGTTCATTTACCACATTATGAAAGTAAGAAGAAACCCCAAAAAACTCACAGTTCAAGACAAAAATCATCCTCATTGGGTCTATCCAGAGATCGAAAATGAACCATCTAACGATTTTCACATATTCCAGAAATGAAGGAACATCTCGATATCAGTATTTATCCCCAACCCCAGCCTTAGATACTTTCTGAAAGCAAATAATATCTCCGTCCTCGATCTACAAAAAAATAAAGGATTTTGTTCAGATATATATATATATATATATATATATATATATATATATATATATATATATTATATAGGCAATCAACTTTTTCATTATAGAAGAAGAAGAGGGTTGAGACTAGTAATACCTGGCAAGATCTAAATGATCTTATCTTGTCAAGACGTTCACACATCACATATGGCTCAAATTTTATCTCGTGATCAATCATGAACACATCAATATGATTTCACAAACAAACAAACATGCAATGCAATGCAAGACCACAAGAAAACATACATCATAGAGTTCGATTTCTTCATCTGGACTAAATCTAGCCCTCTCATTTAATTTTGATGTAATTTTAGTTGGTTTACCAGAACTCTTGACAAAAAATCTACCAACATATCTGCAAAAAAGAATATAACATATTATATGATTACACAATAACCCCATCCCATTAGGCTACTGAAAGATATAATTAACATGTTGATAGTATCGGAATTCTTCCTTCACGGGATCATAAAGCTAGAAGAAAAGAAGTATATCATCCTTGCTTTTATCAGGTGGTGGAAGAGGATGCAACAAATCCTGAAAACAATGTTCGACTCTTAATCGGGAGAATCGGGAAATTCAAAGGTACCGGACCGGTTGGAGTGAATATCGAATCCATTGAAAAATACAAAACCGGTGTCGGGCCACTTATAAACAATCAGTATCAACCTTAACCAAAAGGACAAAAAACTCAACCAAATTGGTGTCCTTCATCTGTGATCCAATCCTGCAAATGACTCACCAGCTTTCTCCCAAACAGGTTTCTGCATGAAAACAGGAAAGTATTAGGGGCATTCATAGTAAAGAGGATCTCAAATCAATTCACTTATATATTGCCTTCATATTTTAAAGTACTAGTTTTAGATTCTTGTGGCATAAGAATTAAAAAGACCCTTCCATAAACTAAATAGTTGCAGTTAGTTCATCAAAATTTTCTTTCATCCAAGACATAAATTGACATACATGAAAGCCCTAACTGACTGGGGCATGTTGTCAAACACATGGAAGACCCTTCCACAAGCTAATTAGTTGTATGGCCTCACGAGTATGTATTTTGTTGATGTGATGGCATAATTGAGATTTAAACATACCATTGAATTGTTCAATGAATCTCAAAGGATCTAGGAATTTCAATCCAATTAAAACTTAATAACAATTTTGTTTTTCATGGTGGAAATTGGTAAATTGTCATTTACCTACCTTCAAATATTTTGCAAGTTGGATTACAGCATCCCTCTTCCAAATTGTAAAATATTGTGTTGGGTCCTAGACTTAATATTTCATTTTGGGTGTTATATTAAGGACTCTTTATCTAATCTAAACTTTGTCTTTCTTTCTTTTCAGATGTCTTCCAATACTGCTTCTGGCTCAAACCCTACTGGCTCCTTCTATCTCATGAACTTGTGTGGGAGAGTCATCTTTGATGGGTCCAACTTCAATGACTGGATTAGGAACATCAGGATGGTCACTCGCTATGAGGACAAGGAATATGTCCTCGACAAGGAGCTTAAGTAAATTGATGAGTCTGCTGCTACTCCTGAGGAGATCGCTGAGTTTAGGACTCATGAGAAGGATGCCACCAAGGTGTCTTGTATATGTTGGCCACCTTGACAGCTGAAATCCAAAAGTCCTATGAGGACTTCTACCCTTTTGAGATGCACCAGGACTGATGGAAAGATACCATCAGAGTGCTCGTCAAGAGAGGTATGAGATCAGCTCTTCCATGATAACAACTAAGATGAAGGATGGTGAACCCATCACGGGCCACTTGCAGAAAATGCAAATGTTTATGGACCGTTTGCTGAAATTGAATGTGAAATTTCCTGAGGAGCTGGCTATATATATCATTCTACACTCCTTGCCTCCATGTTATGATCAGTTCCGCATGAACTATCATATGAACAAGGAGGAGGTCATACTTAGCAAACTTCAAGGGCTTTTAAGGACTGCCGAAAGTGGTCTCAAAGGTAAAAATGTTGTTTCTACTCTTACCGCAAATTCCCCTGTTCTGGAAATTGGACAAGGGAAAGGGAAGAAGAGGAAGGCTCCCTAAAAGAGCCGCAAGGGAAAGTCTCTTGATGGATCCTCTTCAAGTGGGACCAAGGCTGGTTCTGCTGCTCCCTCTTCCATTCCTTAGGAAGTAGAGTGTTTCTACTGTCATGAGAAAGGCCACTGGAAGCGAAGCTGCCCCAAATACTTGCATGATGTCAAGGATGGGAAGGTTAAACCCACCCATGCAGGTATTTATACTATTCTATCTAAAAACTCATCACATTCTAAGTCTTGGGTCCTTGATACAGCTTGTGGATTTCACATTTTTTCTGATGTGTAGGGCCTAAAAATAAGTAATGATGTGGGGCACGGGAAGATAAACTTGATCATGGGGAATAGGAAGGTTTCACCTGTTACCAAGATTGTAGTTTATTCTTTATTATTGAGTAGTGGGTTAGAAAGAGATTTTAATAATTGTTGCTACTCGGCTGAAATGGCGAGAAATATTATTTCCTTTCATGGTTTGTACAAACAAGGGTTTAGTTTTTCATTTGATAATGAAATTAGTGCTATTAATGCTTATTATAATGGTGTTTTTTATTTTAACGCATTACCTTGTAATGGTGTATATGAAACTGTGATGGTTGTAGACAACTTAGGAAATAATGTGTTGCACATTGATTCTTCAAATGAATTGGATAAGGCATGCTTGTGGCATTGTTGTCTTGGACATGTCAGCAAGAAGCGCATAGGCCAACTCGAAAAGGCTGGAGTTTTGGAATCATTCGACTTAAGGTCGGATGACACTTGCGAATCTTGCTTGCTTGGAAAGATTACCAAGTCACCCTTCACTGGTACTTGTGAAAGAGGTGAAGGTTTGTTGGATCTCATACATACCGATGTGTGTGGGACCTTCAGAACCGCCACAAGGGATGCTAACCGCTTCTATGTGACTTTTACTGATGATTACAATAGATATGGCTATGTCTACTTAATCAAGCATAAGTCAGAAACCTTTGAGAAATTCAAAGAGTTTAAACAATAAGTGGAGAATCAGTTGCGCAGGAAGATAAAGATGCTCCGATCCGATCGGGGTGATGAGTATCTTAGTATCGTGTTCCTTGACTATCTTAAGGAATGTGGGATTGTTTCACAATTGACGCCACCTAGGACACCACAGCTTAATGGTGTTGCTGAGAGGTGCAATTGAACCTTGTTGGACATGGTTCGTTCCATGATGAGTCGAGCTTCGTTACCTATCTCGTTCTGGGGGTATGCCTTAGAAACTGCCGCCCGTATCCGTAATCTAGTACCAACGAAGAAGGTAGCCAAAACACCTCACGAGATGTGGATAGGGAAGGCTCCCTCGTTATCACACATCAAGGTTTGGGGTTGCGAGGCTTTCGTGAGACGTGAGACTCACGACAAGCTCGAACCTCGAAGTGAGCGGTGTATTTTCATCGGCTACCCACATAAATCCTTTGGTTATCTCTTCTACAGACCAAGTGACAATGTTTTCTTCGTTGCGAGGATAGGAGTCTTTCGCGAGAGAGAGCTCATAGGCCAAGGAGACATTGGGAGGAAAATTGACCTTGAAGAGCTTCAAGAGTCAAGCAGTGAAGGAACCTCAAACACTAGCGATTAACCTGAGGAGGAAACTCCTGTTGAGCCGATTGACGAGTCTGTACCTCTGAGGCATTTCGGTAGAGTTAGTGTTCCACCTGTGTTATATGGTTTTCATATAACATCTGAGGGTGATACATTTATCAGTGATAGCATGCTGATAAATTTGGATGAACCTAACAACTATAAGGAAGCCATGACAGGCCCCGAGTCTGCTAAACGGAAAGAGGCGATGGACAGCAAGATTCAGTCCATGTATAACAATCAAGTTTGGAACTTGGTTGACAATGTACCGGGTCGTAAGACAGTCGGGTGCAAATGGATCTTCAAGAAGAAGACCGACATGGATGGAAAGGTACACACTTATAAGGCGCGACTGGTTGCGAAGGGCTTTACTCAAACTTCGGGAGTTAACTATGATGATACCTTCTCACTAGTAGCGAAGATTAAGTCTATTAAGGTTATATTAGCCATAGCTGCATTTCATGATTATGAAATATGGCAAATGGATGTCAAAACTGCTTTCCTTAATGGAAAGTTGGCTGAGGATGTTTAGATGAGTCATCCACAGGTTTTTGTCGATGCAAAGTACCCTAATAGAGTGTGTAAGCTTAGGAAATCCATTTATGGATTGAAACAAGCATCTCGCAGATGGAATCTTTTTTTTGATAAGAAAGTCAAAGAGTTTGACTTTTCGTGAAGCGAGGATGAATCCTGTGTATATGTCAAGGATAGTGGGAGCATAGTTAGCTTTCTGGTCTTGTATGTGGATGACATACTACTCATAGGAAATGACATCCCAACCTTGCAGGAGGTTAAGTCCTGGCTTGGGAAGCGTTTCGCTATGAAGGACCTCGGAAAAGCTGCATATATTCTGGGGATAAGGATATTGAGAGACAGGAGTAAAAGACTAATTGGACTTAGTCAAAGTACCTACTATGATAAGGTGTTGAAAAGATTCAGCATGCAGGATTCCAAGAAAGGTGACTTACCGATCCAGAGCAATGCCAAACTGAGTAAAACTCAGAGTCCGAGTATAGAGGCTGAGATAGCTGAGATGAGTCGAATACCATATGCTTCCGTTGTTGGCTCGATCATGTATGCTATGACTTGTGCTCGCCCTGATGTGGCCTTTGCTTTGAGCATGGTCAGCAGATATCAAGGGAATCCTGGTAAGGGTCACTGGACTGCGGTAAAGAAGATTCTCAAGTACCTGCGGAGGACTAAGGACAGGGTTCTTACCCTCGGTGGGAGTGATGACTTGAGAGTGGTGGGGTATAGTGACGCCGGCTTTCAGACCGACAGAGATAATTTCTGCTCCCAGTCGGGCTGGGTCTTTACCCTAAATGGAGGAGCAATAACTTGGAAAAGTTCCAAGCAGGAGACAGTAGCTGATTCAACGTGTGAATCAGAGTACATAGAAGCAAGCGAGGCGGCAAAGGAGGCAACACATGGCTGAAGAACTTCATCGGAGACCTTGGAGTTGTACCAGCTATAAAGGAGCCTATGGAGATTTTCTGTGATAGCGAGAGTGCAGTTTCCTTAGCCAAGGAACCGAGGGAT